TACTTAAAAAAAATTAACTTTTCAATATTGTTATCTCAAACCAGGTTGGTTACAGAGTATACTTTGGGCTGCTATTAAATTCAGTCCTTTAATATTAGCCTTACCAGAAATTACAAATTGTTAGGTCTTGGTAGATGTAGGATGTAGACACAATGCCTGAAGAATGACAGCAACAGCACAATCCATATTATCAGGAAAGAATAACTTTGTTATTATCTTTTTATGATGAATAGCTTATTTCTTTACTGTTTACATGATATACATGAACATGCAGGAAATAACATCCTCCGGAAACTTGCACAAATCTCTTTTAGTATACACCAAGTGTTTCTGAGAAAACTTCATAAAGTAGCATATAGGCAGTTTACTTACATGTACATTTCAATCACAAGATTTTGGGGAAAATATATTTTATGGGAACTTCTCACCTAGCTGACCTTAAAAGAGAATAAAATAAAATGTATTTTATTATTTTGACTTGCTTATTAATGATTCTGTTACATATTGCAGAAGAGCCATAGCTCAGAAGTGTCCAAATCCTCCCATGCTGAACCTCATCTCTGTAGGGGGCCAACATCAGGGTAACAACTTCAATGGAAAATCAAAATAATTAAGAGTTGTCTCCCTTACACAACTGGATGATAACACATCTTAACTATTTCAAAATTTGTAAAATGAAATCATTCTTGGACACTTTCTAAAATTACAGCTCTTTTCCAAAATTGTTGAAAGTGTCAGTGTTTTTGAATATTAAACAAAATTGATGCATTCTAATAATCCACAAAAATATGAAAGGATTATATTAAAGTGATTTATATTGAAAATTGATACACTGACCTAAAAATTAAAAAAAAAGTAAAATTTAGATGACCTAAAAATTAAAAAAAAAGTAAAATTTAGATAATGAATAATTGAATATTAATAAAATTGTTTGAATGTGTTTAGGTGTGTATGGTTTTCCCGTTGTCCAGGTGATAATAGTACACTGTGTGATATTGTCAGAAAGCTGCTGAACTTAGGGGCATACAACAGGTAAATTTCTCATTAAGAACCCTCTCTACACTGCACACTAAAGAGTTCTGATTTTTTAGTATTTTTCAGCAGTTAGAGAGATCTGCCCTTTGATCTAAATTCTAAGAAATAGAATTTTATTGAATATTTCTCAATTTGTAATCAATTCAAGTATTCTTCACATTTTTTAAAGGCAAGAAAAATTAATTGAACATGTTATTAATACAATCTTGTATTTTCTCTATGGAAATACACATCAGTGATTTCTATTCACTGATACTGTGTTGTGTTTGATCATTTTCCTGGGGGCAAATGCGAGGTACTATGTAATTAAAATTGAATAGATAAGCTCAATATTAACACCTTTATACAACATTTTTCTCAATGTCCCAAAAAATATTTTGCACTGGTGTAGAGAGGGTCCTTAAATATTTATTTAATTTTTGTCTAAATCAATGAAATAGGTTTACTGCATATTTTCCTGGTTTGAAAATACATGTATAAAAAAATTTAATTATATAATTTGCTTTTTCTTTCAGTTTTGTGCAGAATAAGTATGTATACCTTATGTCTATTTTTCAAACTATCCTCCCATGAAGAGCTGTACATGTATTAACTTCTAGACTATATATCTATTACTCCTCATCAGCCATTCTTAAATCAGCGATTATCTTGTATAAAATAACTTTTTATTTATTTTTTAATTATTCAAAACTTTTCGAAAGTATATGATGGGAGATGATTCCAAGTTCTTGCATAATACAGTCTTATTCAACAGGTCGGAGAGAATACTCGAAATCGGGTATTATCCGTCAAATCGCGTATAATTCTCGATATTAGGGTATCGTTGAATCCGCGAAATCGGGTATAGGAGGTGTAATCACCTAATAAAACTTAAACAATGGGATGGCGCATGTTGCCGAGTTAACTTTCATCTAGATACACGTTTTCTAAAGGTATCACTAGCCAAGTAAGAATTTGGGCGTCAAGATTAATGCGCTCGGGACAACAAATACCCGTGGAGCTCAGTACATTTCATGATCTGCACACAAAAAGGCGTTCGATTTGCTTTATATTTTTCCTTATGTTGAAAGTATATGCATCTTCCTAATGTTCATTCCCAACACAACAGAATTGTAAAGTATCAGAATTCGGGAATTTATAATAATTCCACATCAACACGACAAACATGAACAATTTGTAAATAAATCAAATTATACGGAAACACATTTCACACACCAGATATGATGCCATGTATCTAATTATGCATCATTAATTACTTTCACATTCATCTTGTGCATAAAATCAAATTTATTAATGAATGTATAAATAATGTAATGATAAAAAATGTCTAAAACTTCGGCTAAAAGAACCCTCTTTCTCTTTTTTTGAAAATCTTTTCTTTCTTATTTATCATTCAAACATATTTGCAGAATATGTCTTCAACATTTTAGCAGAGACAGTGATAGTTTCAGGAATACAGCTTATGAGAGAACATAACTGTTGATCGTTTAATTTCGCTAAGTCATAAATATTTTACCATTTCTTGGTGACTTCAAAGGGGGCGGGGGGCTAAAGGCTTCTTGACCACCTCTGACAAAACAACCTCAACTGTGTTCTACATGTGTCCAAGTGACCTCTCTTTGAATGTCACGGTCGGTTAAACTCGGTCATATATTTTTAATTGTAGGAAAGATTTATTCATCAAATAAAAATCATATACATTGTAGGTAAACAAAAAGCAACCTGTTATTTTCTAACACAATATAAGACTACAAGTAACTAGAATTCATGTTTATTTTTTTAACACATTTTTTCATTATAGATGAGTATTAGGAAAAGTTACTGCCATGAGTAATACGTATCATAGATAAAATAACTAAAAGAAAACTGTGACATATTGTCTAGAACCAATCAGATAGTGCGTTGTATTAGCATATTATAATGAGGTATAAGATAGCGATATTAAAAAAAATATAGAAGGTAAAGAGGTAAAATTTACCCTGTCTATCAAATAGTATAATAAAGAAAGGAAGTAGCTACGATTTTTTATGAAATTTTAATGTCCGATGAGGAATTATATTCCCAAAAGTAAGACAAGAGTTTCTAAGGTAATTGAACACTCCATTATTTCAGTTTGTTCATTAAAATGTTCATAAACGTAAAAATTATAAGAAATGTGAAAACTTGACTATGTAATTCATATTTCAATATGACTGTACCTCGATCTATATTTAGAAATTCAATGTATTTTAACTTCATGAAAAGATGTACACATTTGACTTTTATTTATAACCCCCCCCCCCCCCCCAAAAAAACAAACAAGAAAATCCTGTTCATATGACTTCTCGCTCTCAATTTTCACACAAATGCATAAAATAAAGTTAAAATAGTATATTTTGTATCGATTAAAATGCAACCAAAAATTTACGGTATCTTTGAATAAAAATTTCATGCTAAATTGACATAAAAAAAGATACTCACCTTCAATTAGCTATTTTCAACCCGTTTTCCCGTGGGTATTTATTTAATCTTATTTTATTTTCTTCTTTATAATAACGTTGGTATTCTATTATTGCAGAGATATACAATTATGACTCGCTTATACTGTACTCTCTAACTGTTAGGAGTAATTTATATTTCACGAGAAGGGACGCCATACATTTTCCAGTAAAAATACATAACACGGCGTTAGTCGTTTAATTTATTTAAAATTTCACGTTTTGTGAATAGTGCACAAATTAGAAAATTAAGTATATGGAATACTTTAATGGGAAATAAAGACAAACGAAGTGTAGTTATTTGTTTTTAGAAATTATATTGAAAAATAGTAACACCATTGTGTCCTCTTTGTTACCTCAGCAGTGTTTGTCGTGTGATTTTAAACTTATTTGACAACCTTATGAATTAGGTTTAATAAAAGTAAATCCACAAGATACTGATGTACAAGTAACAGTTACTGGCATAATGCGCCGTTGCTTTATTCTTCAGTTTTTATAGAAAGTTACCAATACCCGATTTCGCGGATTCAACGATACCCTAATATCGAGTATTATACGCGATATACCCGATTTCGAGTATTCTCTCCGACCTGTTCAAAATTGTGAAAACAGACAGATATATTTACTCCATGGAATTGTACATAATAGCACATGTAATAAAAATACACCTATATCAAGTTCCACATTTAAGTTTGCATAAATATTATACATGTACCACTATAATTTCTCTTGATAACTATAAACTCCTGGCATGTTGTAGTCTTGTCCAAGCAGAATACTGGCATGACCCTCTCCAGGAGGATGAATATAAATCAAAGAGTGTGTTCTTAGCTGATCTGAATCAGGAAAATGTAAAATATTTTATTTCAACAGATTTTAAAACTACTGGTACTTTCAAATACAAAAGCTACACTAAAGAAAAGACAGAATGCCATACTGTTTTGTTTTCATTCATAAATTACAGAAGAGAAATGAGACCCAGAAAAACAATTTGCTAAAACTGAAGAATTTTGTGCTGGTCAAATTCTTACAAGACGAGATGGTGGACCCCAGGGATAGTGAGGTGGGTAGGAACCAGTAAATGGTACACTGTTGTTTGGAAGGGAAATTTATAAGGACTACCATATAAATATATATGATAAGGTGTACCAGATAATCCAACATTTTGCTGGTAGTATGCTTATTCATTATCAACTACCGGTAACTGACCATTTGTAAATTTTTATTATCATAGTTTTTAATTTTTTATACCCTCCGCTTGAAAAGTGGGAGGGTATATAGTAACCATGATGTCCGTCTGTCTGTTATGCCTTGGGGTACCCATCTCTTTCGCAACTCCTTTCATACCACTGAATGAAATTTGATGAGACTTTCACAGAACTTTAAATACATATTGCCATTGTGCACCTCCTATTTTACTAGGGTGTTGCAAAAATTTGGTGATCTATAGTATAAAATCTGTATAGCTTTAACATTGATTATCTTGTCATTTCAGTGGTTTGGCTTCTACAAACCTGGACAAGCAAAAGAACTCTTCACCCTTTTTGAGTCACCACTCTATCAAGAGGTAATTAACAGTGAAAGCAATTAAATTTGAGTCGAGAGTAATAGTCATAAGAAAATCCTCTAAATGCCTTCTTGTTTAATATCATATTGATTTGAGATGTATGTACACTAATTGTGCTGATAAAGCATCAGCCCTCTTGCTTAACCCTTGCTTAATTAGCCCTCACTGTCAATCCTATAGGACTGGTTGGGATTGAAGACAATGAATAGCACTGGTCGGCTCCACTTTCTGGCTTCTCCCGGTGACCACCTTCAATTTACAGAGCAGTGGTTCATTGACAACATAGTCTCCAAGTTCCTTAAGGGGTAGATCCTGCACTGTCAGTACCATGAAGTGAGATTACAACTGATACAGCAATTCATCAATGCTCTACAAAAATTTTCCCCAAGTTTTCCCATTCTCTTGATCAGTGTAGATGATTATTTCCCTTGATAGAAAATAAAAACTAATGATTCATCTTTGCATAGGCTAAAGGGGGGATTTTTCAATTGATCAAATTGTGTGAAATTTAACTCTGTATTTTAGTGTAACAAAGTAAATTTGTATATGTCACATTTACTGAAAAGTTCATGTTGTGCCGTGATATGTATTTGTATATTTTAATCTTGTATGACACCCTAAGTATTTATTGATCATTTTGAGTTTTCAGTTGGTTTTATCTGTCGCCCATATATCTTATGAAGTTAACATTCTACTTATCTCCACCAATGCAGGGTACTAACTGTACAAGTACATGCAGTACTGTATATAAAAGTTGTAAGTTGCTTTTCATGTGAAACGTTTTATATTAACATACTGTATATTTAGTGGATAAATCCCAACACAGAAGAACATGTATAGTTGCATCACAGATTTTAGTTGCTTAGCTTTGGTGCATCATCTTAGATAGCCTTTTTTTTGCTATAATTTGTTTGTTAATTAATTTTGCATA